ATTAATTAACGCACAATCCCTCAAATTTATTTTGTGACCCTTAAGAGGGCTCGACCCCAAGGTAAGGAACCCCTGATCTAAACAACCTGACTGTATATAAAGTCATTAAAAGTCCTGGGGTAGCTACAACAGTAAAATGCTTCTCGCATATTGCTGCATCAAGATTAACAATCCAATTATAATCATATATGATAATATATCAGTCACTGCAAAACGAGTATTCATGCAGATTTCTGCAGTTAGTCTGCACTAAAACCATTAATGTGGATCGCACAGGTCCAGTTCTTAGATCCTGACTTGCGTCGAATGAATAGTTTGGGACTAAATTCAGGTTTTCAGGTTCAGGTTTTGTGCGGCACATATCTAAATCTCCACAAGAAAACCAGAGGTCTGCTCCAACTCCCAGTTCTTCTTTAAATCATATTTATATGTTGTTTATATTCCAAAGTCTTGTTTTAATGCCTTTTATGTCTTACATAAAGCGTTGAATTCCCTTGTCGTTGAAAGGTGCTACACTCATAAACCTGCCTTGCCTTATAAAACAGATGAGTTTTCTTCAGTTCTATGGCAATTTTGTTCAGATGTTTGTTACCTTTTGGGAAGGTGGTTGATGTCGAGCACTTCTAACACATCCCTCTCTTAGGATGTGCAGGCACTTGATTGCTTCATTGCGATGGAGGGGAAACAGCTCTCAGACATCAGAGGAGATGAGATTTTTTCTTTCTGTCTTTGCTCATGTTTCAGGATCATCTCCAACTCTCAGATTCCTGATGAATAAGCACAAATGCACACACATATAAAGGGAGACTTATGTTCACACAGTGCTATTGCTGCTGTGTGTGTTGTTCTTGGTGAGGCAGGCTTACAAATTAGCCGTCAATGAAGCGAGGTAATGAGCAATTTGAAGCTCTGCCATATCTGCAGCGGCTTTAGTCTCAGCACATCTGATCTGATCTAATCTGCAAAGCCATGTTCTGCTGGATATGAAAATACAACAACAAAATTAACACCCAGACTCTCCCAGTGATACTGCAGCAATATCAGACCCAGCTGAGAGATCAGAGAAATCTTTGAGATTACTAAAGTGAGGCATCATCTCAGTTTGAACAGTCAGCAGGAGAAAAAGCTGAGGCTGCACTTATGGCCATCTCCCTTCTGCGTATTGTTATGGAAATGAGAAGCAAATATACGTCACAGATGGAATGGATCTTCTATCCCTCTGGGTGGAGGTGCATCATCAGGAGAGGCAACCCAGGCAAATACTTGGGGCCCCTGATGGCCCCTCTAATCGGCACATTTTGCAGTGACATCTATAAACCTCCTTAAACCTCCCATAACGACACTACACTACTCTGCACTGCTGCTGCCCCTGAGAGGGGCCCCTGATGATATGTGCTGTAGCTAGCATCTACTCATTGCTAGCATGTGAGGCATTTAGGGGACATCTGTATATAGTAGCATCTACCAATAATCTGTGTTTTCTTCTTCTTTGCCTGAGTCCCCCCAGAGACTTAGATCACCACTGCTGACTGGGAAGGAGAAGGACAAAGTCCACCTTCTTTCCCCAGTGTCCAAGAACCGTTTCACTTTCATTTGGAAAATCAAAATGACAAACATAAGGTGGGGAAGGCCCAGCAGAGACTTTACTTCCTCAGGAAGCTAAAACAGGTCCAACTCCCTCAACATCTGCCAGTAAACTTCTACTGAGGCACAATTGAGAGGCTCCAGACCTGCAGCTGCACAGCGGAGGACCAGAAGGACCTGCAGCAGGTCATCAGGACCACATTACCACCCCTCAGTGTCATCTACACTGGGCAAGAAAGCTAGCTGTATTTTAAGAGACTCATCCCACCCCTCGACACTGCCTGTTTCCCCCCCTCCCCTCTGGAAGAAGATACAGGACAATCAAAACAAACACACTAAACTAGAATTACTTCCTCATGGTTGTATCCCAAAATCTAACCAGTTCATCCTTGAGTCATAGCGAATGTTTGTGTCAAATTTGAGGAAGTTCCTTCAAGGCGTCACTGAGATATCATGTCCGCGAGAACGGGACGGACTGTCACTGCAGAGACATAAAAACCTCAGTGTCACCTCTGTGTCACCCTGCCTCGTATATTTCTTCCCCATCCTCCCACTTTATCTCTCTGCATTTGCCTCTTTCTGAAAGTTAACTAACTGTTTCAGATTTTTATTTACAGCACTGTGCTGCTCTGATAGACCTTGTAAGATGAGACTCCCACAGATTCGTGGCATTATCGCTGCCTATTCCTGCGTTTGGAGCCAGTCTCCGAGGGATTAGAACATCATTACTGTCCTTCATGATTTCATCAAAAATCTCCCACTGAGCACAGGATCAAGGGAGGAGGATATTCAGAACAAAATGATCAGGCAGTAGCACACTGCTCATAGTAGGAAGTGAACCATATTAATTTCTCAACCAGCAGATGTTTCGAAGATGTGACATGCTATCCGCAGTCCCCGTCCTCAGGTTCCTTGGGCTAAATGCAGGAGGTTCGACAACATCCTGTTCTTTTTCTAGCATCTGCTGTGTTCTAATGATATAAATGTAAATGTGAATCAGAGTCGGACCAACACAGGCTCTTGAAGACTGTCTTAACAAGATGAAGGGCAACATCAGGAAAGCTGCTGTTTGTATCCTGTTTTTTACCAACAGTCAACATTTGTTTTCTTTTAACCATAGACCACAATTGTTCCCTAATCTTGATTAAATTGTTTTTTGTTTTTTTTACCTCAGGATTAGTCCCTGGAGGCAGCTGGCCACTAACATCATGAGGATAACAGTTGTTGATATTTGCTTGAACATAGGTTGTGAGGTCAGGTACCAAAATTCAGTGTCAGGACAACGTCAAATACCAACGTTAATTTGACGTAGAACACTGATAATAGCTGATGTTGATAATGTGTTGGTTTTAAGTTGTGTTGTTAAGTAAACAAAATCCAGCGTCTTCAAAACGGTCCATGCCAGGGACATCTTTCACATGTAAAGTACAGACATTCTGGTCGTGAGCAAAACCCAATTGCTGCCCATTTTTTGGATTAGCCAGGAGTTAAGTGCGGAGTCAGACCCTGCCAAGATGGCAACAGTGGAGCAGCTCACCCTGAGCTTCAAAACAGCTCTTCAGAAACCTGCGGGTGACGTCTTTCTGACGTTACACTGACGTCCAGTGCTGCTGGGATCTTTCACAGTCATGCAAATTATTGTAGTAATAGCGGTTTGGGTCAGTGTGCCCATTCACATTAAAGATATGGAGAGTGTCACCTATGTAAACAACCATACAGTAATCAAGATGTCAAATAACAGATATGTTTGGAATTATTTATATTATATTAATATAGATTCTAGACTTGGGCTGGTATTCAGTCATATGGAACATGGCAATATTTCCCGCCACATGCAATATTTTTCATAATATCAGAAAAGATATTTTATATATATCTGAAACATAAAATACAATAATATAATTGTATTATAAAGCCTTGCCTAATATCAAAAAAAGCCCCACTGTTTTTATAATTGTGCTGATATTCTTAATGAACATGAATGAATTGTTTCTGGTTGCTAGCGGTTGTGTTAGCAACATGGCCACTACTATCAGCCTGGCTACTGTTCAAAGCGGGAAACCACCAGAAGAATCCCAACTAGAAAAACCTAGTAAAACACCTGGTTGTATTGATAAGTAGCAGGTGTTGTTACTCACTGATCCAGTAGAAATATTAAGGCCAACTGAATGTCGGTATTGAACCCTCTCAAGTCCTAAAGCTCTCTCCGTAGTTGGACTTTGTCTCTTGCTGGTTAGAGTTTCCACAATTACTCCAGTTATTCCACCCTCCTTTGTTTCTGCTACCAGGGGAAAGCTCCTGATGGATACCAGAGAAAACAAGGGCACTATCCTCTTTCTGTTTAGGCTGCAGAGTGGCAGACATGCTTCCTTCGTGCTGTAAATTGAGCCTTCATTTTTCTGGGAAATTTCGTGCCAGGTGGCAGAAAGAAATAGTGACAGTGAGGTTTATAGGAAACCAATCTGAACTACGATGGTGTCTTCATTCTTCAGTTATTACATTGTGCAATCAACATCTTAAAGATAAGTTAAAACCAAAAAAGTTGTCTAATGTCACTTTAAAATAACAATAAAAGGTCAATAATCACCCACATATAACTGGGAGACTTTTTCTGTCTCGGCTTAATTTATGTACATTGGCCCCACTTGTTCAGCAGATTAATTTGGAGCTTGTCCATTTCCTCTGATGGAGAGGGGAATGACAGAAACAGACCAGATAAGAGACTGAAAGCTTCAGTGGAAGGCAGCAGCCCAGGTCGGACTGATGCTGCTGCCGGACTGGATTACTGCAGTGCTGTGAGGGCAAATGTAGATAGGAAATTGTTGAATTAAATGCCATTAGAGCTCTGATGTCACTAATTGTTATAGTGGTTCGCCTGTTTGGAATCAGGAATCAGGAAACCATCTATGTAAAGTGCTTTTATTTTGTTCTCTCCTCCATATTTATTTCTGTGATGGAGCTGAAATGTGTTTCTCTAGAAAATCTTAAGAATTTTAATACATAACATCACAAGTGTGACATCCCTGTTGTGTTTCATTAAAGGCAGAACACAATGGTTGATGCTCATACAGGGTGTATTTATGCTTAAAGTCATAAAATGAACAATGCACAGTGAAGCAGGCTGAGAAAGTGAAAGAAAGGGACATGGGAGGTGAGAGAGGCGACAGGGGGAGGTGGTGGTATGTGTGGAAGGGGTGGGGTTGTGGATTTGTTTGCTATATTGCCTAATCCCGGCAGCACTGCATCACACACCAACACCATCTGTCACCAGTCACATTTGAGAGTCAGCTGCCTGGACTGGACTGCTGGGTCCCGACCACAGGTCCTGACGGGTACTGGCTGTTATTGCAGGCGGTGTGGTGGTGGTGGTGCTGGTGGTGTTGAGGGGGGGTGGGGGGGGGGAGGTTGGGTCTGCACAGAGAGTACGGGGTATGCGTTTCAAACCGAAGTGGAGGTGGAGGGGGGGATTTCTGATTCGCCAAGCAGCGCTCTGATGGTTCGGTGCGCTCACAGAGGAGCGGGGAGGATGCAGAGGAGGGAGAGACAGTGATGCGGTGACACATGGCTGCCCGTACCGCCTGCACGCTCTGACTGCGGCTTCCACTCTCCATTCACCGGGAAACAGGAGAGGCTGCCTGGACACTGGGATGCTGAGAGACGCTGCTGGAGGCTGCCGCAACCACAGACCGGGATCAACCAAACAAACGAGCCCTGAAGAAACCGGGGACCACATAGACTAGACTGCTGAGCGGATACCCTGCTGATCTTTTTACCTTTTGGTAAGCCCCATTCTGACTCCACCTGTCATTACCTGCAGTGATTTAGTAATTATAGCTGAAGCTGCAAATTTTCAGTGTAGCAACAATTATTAAGAATCTCCATTCAAGCAATTCAATCTGCATTTTATTGTTCGGGTCTTGTTCTGGTATTAGCCACCAAAACAAAGGACGAGCTGAAAATTCAGCAGTTTTTTATTAATGATATTAAAATGTATTGCATGTTTTTTTTTTATTTCATAAATTGTCGGGGCCTGTATGGAAAGCTTAGCCTACTCAAGGTGACATTCATTAGCTAAAGTTTTTTCCTCAGGTGTTAAACTTCATTCCTCAATAATGCTTTTTAAAAAAAATTCTCCTGATTTATTTTACCGTTTAAACGGGGCAAACTTTTTCCTTTCCTTATTTCCTTTTAGGTTATTAGCCAAAATCTTTAGTCTAATATATCAACCACAATCAACATGATGTACTGGTGAAATAATCATAAAAGGAGCCTTTACTGACAACAACATATTAATGAGATTATTCTGCTTTTTTGCCAAATGTAGACATGAATACATGGATATCGTCAGGGACAATAGATAGATTATTGGATTGGAAATTTGCATTTCTAAATGTAAAATGTCAAATCTGGTCCTTACAATAAAGCTGTATGAAGTATGTTATTTTCAAAATAAAAGTATCTTTCCTGGACTATATCATTATTTAGCCTGTAATGCTTGATTTTTTTTCTGATCTTGTTTGAAATTAATTTAAACATTTTGTTCTACCTTTCTTTAGTATAATGAGAAGTAGCCTATATATAAATTGCGGATATAGTTATACAAATAAAAACACATTTTAATGACTATATTTAATTCTTATTTTATTAATACGTCCGCCTTTGGCGTGTTTTTTAATTGAAAATTGAATTTGTTTGAAGCGCGATTGCTTATTTCCACTATAATGGCCTTTACAGTGTGCCTGAGGGTTTTTGTCCCTGCCGAGCCGCCGTAGCGATGGGAGATAACATGTCCAAGCGACTGAAGCTGATCTCGGCTACAGAGGCAGAGATGGAGGAGCGCTCTTTTCCAAACCCGTACCCGGACTGGGACCAGGGAGTCCTCACCTCCAACTCCGGAGCCGACGTAGACTACAATGAACCTTTTGATGCAGAAGGAAAGGTGAGAGGTTTTGATTTTAAAGCATTTTTAATAACATCTGCTGACGTGCTAATGTTAGAAACTACAGTTAGCTTAACTCAGACGTGCACTTGTGTCGTAGTTTCTAAAAACTTGTCACTGTTTGTTTTAACGTTTACTAATGTATCTGTAATGACTGACATGGGTGTATTAGTGACATTGTAATTGTAATTGTAAACTGAGCCTAACGACTGTTACAAACGTTCATGCTAAATGGAGACAAACAGGACAGTTGACAACTCTCACCAACTGATTAAAAATATGTTGCTATAGAAACGTCTGACTTCAGCACAGCAGGGCTCAGTGGAGTTTGGTTTGTGACGCATAAAGCACCAAATATCACATTTGAAGTGTCATTGCGAAGCTGGTGTAGTAGACTGTGTTAGTTGTAACTGGGTGAGCTGACAGCAAGTCTCCAACACAAGCCCCACGTGTTTTAATTCACGTGAGTTAGAACAACGATGCTCAACAATAAGTCTCACTTTCGTTTACGTTATAATTTTTAGTTTTTGTTGAGACTGTGTTGATTTAGTGCTGCTGTAGTTTGGTTTAGCATCAGGAGGTTTGAGTGTTATTGTTTTAGTAACCCTCACCCTAACCTACGGTGGCCCTGAGAGCTCAATGCACTGCAATTTAAGAGAACATATGCAAATTCAGAAAACATCAATTTGAAAACACATGCTGCAGATACTCAGAATTTTGTTGTGAGTATTTGCATCACGTGTCAAATTGATCATGTTTTTGAATTTGCTTGTGTTTTGTCTATTTGCATCTCTGTTCTTAAATTGCAGTGTGTGGAGCTCTCAGGGCCACGGTACTAACCCACTATAGTCCTTGAGTATTCAGAGTTTTCGAGTATTGGGTATTGCGCACCTTTCAGGCCCTAATAGTTCAAGGACTAACATGATGTGCTGCTGTCAAGTGGAAGTAAAACAAAATGGACCAGTATCCTCCCAAAATACCTAACTGTAGGATACATACGTACTTTTACAGAAAATAAATGAAACTCTACCGTTATATGATGACAGTATCAGAAAATAAGAAATAACCTGGAGTTGATTAAAGTATTCAAGTCTTAATGCAAAACAATTATTGACACTGAGAGCCAGTAAAAGTCAGTGAATCTCTCCAAAGTCTGTGGGCGCGCAGGAATCAGGAGTAATGTCCACAGGCTAACAAGCTAACAAGCAGTGAATCCACTGTGACTTTGGTACATGAATAAATCTGGCGAGTCCCAAAGCTCAAGTGGTCTCCTCAGTATTCTGTGGTATAGAGGCTGTAGTTCGGCATGAAAGAGAAGTGTCGAGGGCAGCAAGTCTTTATGAGCGCTGGTTTCAGCAGCAGCAGCAAAGGTGGTTTGTAGTACTGAATGGTCTCAGCAGCGAGCACATACAGTTACAGAAAGCCCCGAGGGGAAAGCATGTGTCAGTCACTACCTGCACTGCTTAAGCAAGCTAAATATTGTCTCAGAGTACTCAAGTGAGTTTGTAACACAACTTCCGGTTGTACAGTGGGGTCCAAAAGTCAGAGACCATGAGTTAAGATACTTCTGTTTTGTGTTTGTTTCTAATTTAATTTAAAAAAAAATGATAACAAATGAGCTTAACAGTTTGAGTGAAAAGTTGAAAAATGTACATGAATTTCAGAATATCTTAGAATTTGTTTTGTCGCCTTTTGCTTTAATGACCGAGCTGCATGAACTCCACAAGTCTGTACAAAACCTGATGACCCGTGTTTTCCCAACATGATCTGACAGTGCTTCAAAAAGATTCTTGGCATGTCACAGACTGCTTTGCTTTCTCAGTCTCCATAAATGTTCAATGAGATTGTAGTCGCAAAAGCTCTGACGTGTGTTTGGGTCATGATCCTGCCACAGTATGAATCTTTCTTCACAAAGATGCTAACCAGAGGGTGTAGCATGTCTATGAAGAATGAAGTGGTGCTTCTCCTGAGTCTGGGTGGAGTAATGAATATTCGTCCCACCATGTTTCATCATCGCCTCCTTACATACACCCTTCTGTTACTGCCATCCATCCGAAACACGGCTCCATCAGTAAATATGACATTTTTCGAGTCATCCACTTTGAAATGCTGGTGTTTCTTAGCTCATCCCAAGTGTTTGGGCTTTTTTCCCTCCTGACAAGTGGTTTAGAAACTGCTACTCATCCTCTGAGACCACTACAGGACTGCCTCCTTTTGACAGTGCTGTTTCTGATTGGTGGTGATTGATTGCTTTTCTATTTCTCAGAGAACTAACTAAGCTTGATGTATTGATCCTGCGATGGTGTGGTCACATTTGCTTGCCTGATTGTGCTTTGAATTCAGCTGATCCACTTTTTCCAAAGCGTTTTTAGAGTTCAATGTGTTGCTCCCTTAGAAACCTTCAGTCCAGCCATGAGATGTCTGAGAAAGCCCCTCTTTGTTTAGAACAACAATTTGACTTCTGACATTTTCATTTAGTTCTGATGTCATTTTTTCCACCATCTTAAAAAAATGCCAGTAGAAAGGATTTGGTTGTTCATTATTTGGCCAGCAAACAGAACTGAGAAGAATTGAATGTGTTTTAGGCTGAAACAAAAAAATCATTATAGATTAAGATAGCCACTGTTCTTTCGATTAATTCATCAATCGTTCAGTCTGTCATATGAACTGCCATCACTAGTTTCCAAAGTTGAAGGTGAAGTCTTTATTTGTCGTGTTTTTTCTGACAAACTGTCAAAAACCCAAAGAATTCACACTTATACAGTGTAACACAGAGAAAAGCAGTAAAACCTCATTGGAGAAGGATAGGGAGGGAGAATATTTGCCAATTTTGTTTGATAAGTTGCTAAAACTACTTTTTTTTTTTAGCTTTACATGGTTTATATTCTATTAAGACTAAGTGTGTACTTTTTGGGAATTTTTCTTAGAGGAATCTACCAAAATAATTCCCTATCACAGCTTGGCAGATAATTTGAAAGCTAAGATTTTGATTTTAAAGGGGATATGAAATTAACATTTTTCTTTTAAACTATTCAGCTTCACTCTAAATCTTTTAAGGTTTTAAGCAATGACCTACCAGGCTTCCAACTGCACACTCTCCTTTTGGGCTGCAGGAGTAGGTCCCATTGTCCCTGATCTGTGGCCCCTCTTAAACAGAGATCCCACTGTAATGCTGTTGAGAAGACCACCAGCTTTGCCTGCACTCTCAGAAAACAGCAGGCTATCATGAGCACCCTGACTGATAGGCACACAGGGAGGGCAGGTTAAGAGATAGACCGGGCAGGTAAAAACACGTTGGCACCCCTGTTGCACCTTTGCATCATTTACATTCAAATAAATGAGAGGGCTGTTTTCTATATGAACACAAGTTTGTATTTTTAGTCCTACTACTGGTGGATAATGACACTGTCAGTGTGTTGTTAGTTCCAACCAGCACCCAAATAACTAATTGTGTATTGTATGAACTGTATAGTAATGTGTCACATTGGGGCTAAAGGCGGAGCTTCAGGCTCTCAGTCTTGTGTAACACTCTCATTCCCCTCTCGGCTTCTCTGAACGTTTCATTGTTATGTTAAACAGTAACATTTGTTCTTGTGCAACAATCCTGTCTGTCACTTTGCCTCTGCATTGTTCTCTTTCCCCCTCCATCGATCCCTTCAACCATGATGACAGTAACAGTGAGTCAAAGCAGAGAGAACAGAAAGGCCGGGTCATAATCCTCTCTGTTTGAGGACAGAGGCCACTCTCTGGTCAGGCTCTCTGGGTTTCAGCCTCAAGGACTGTCTGTTCTGTTTGGACTGTACTGGGGGGGAAATGGATTCCCTGACTGACAAGTGACTGAATGCAAACTTGGGGCAGACTAGAGAAGATGCTGTATGTTTACTGATGATAGTGTACCCTGGAAGATAACGATACAAATTGGTCGGGGGAAAGTCCCACCAGTGACATAGGAATAAATTGTTGTTGATGAATCAATTTGTTGTTATTGTTGGCAGATTTATCATTAAAATTTTTCCCAAATTTTGAAATGATGCATCCCAGATTTCAGACAGAGGTGGGCAAAAGCGACTGACAGTCTACTGTGTCGGCTATATAACTGTTGCTAGCAGATTTTATTAGGTGTAACCAGCTGTGACAGAGCTGCTAACATTAGCCCAGACTCTGATAGCGTTCAGGACCGGCTTCCAAACAGGTTCATTTTCATGTAACCTGTGTCCTCGCTAAATAACGTAGAGAGTTAACAATGTACTAAGCTAATGTGTTGCGAAAGGCATAGCTTTACAGACCTGTTGTGCCTAATTACGGTTTCTAAGCTATGATTGGACAAGTGTTATTCAGGGGCGGGGTTTAGTCGATCATCTATTGATAAGTCACTGACAGCAAATAATTATTTATGACAACAAATTTGCCAGATGCAGCATTGTGAGGATTTTCTGCTTTTTCTTGTTTTTTTTATATTAATTATTTTCTAATGATAATATTCATTAGATACATCGAGATTGCACAACCTTACAACCCATCATCCATTGAGTAAAACAGAGAGGCACCAGCTTGTGAAAAACTGTTTGCATAGGCCCTGCTTTCAGAAACCTATTCTCTAAGTGGTTCCTGTTAATTTATCAGGCCAGTGGATAGGAGTAAATGGGCCTTGAGTCCTACAAATAGCTCCTGCATTTCTTGTGTGCTCCCAGACTCCCATCTGTGTTTGTTTGAGGAGGTGGCTGGTGTGAGACACACTGTCTGAAATCTGTGTAGCTGCTTTGACTCGGGAAGCTCCACAGTCCTTATTGTCATACAGTTCTGTCGGCTGACTGTGAGTGGGGCCTGTAGAGAATTAATTAACTGCATATCCATGATCAAACCAGCCCTTGAAGCATGATCTGACCTATGCTGTAAGATCTGTAAAGGGTAAATGGGGCCTTGTGGAAAATTACCTTATTAACATAGGCTGTTTCCTGACATGAATCCTAACGAGTGGGTCGTAACCTTCTGCCAGATGTCTGAGATTTTAGTAGGATTACCACCTTTCTTTTTCAAGCCTCACACGTGTGCTCATTTGCTGCTTTTCTGTATTTTAATTCTAATTCTATAGTAATCTGATATCTCCGGGTTTGTCACACATAATAATTGATCTGAGGACAAGACCTTGAGATCTAAAGAGATTCAGGCTGCGTCCACACCACTACGTTTTCGTTTTACAACACATCTCTTTTGTTACGTTTCCTCCTCCCGTCCACACAACTCCGGCGATTTCAAGCTCTGAAAAGGGAGGTTTTTGGAAACTCTGCTGACCCCACTGTAGTTTGAAAACTCTGAGGAATGGCGAAAACAGAGACCTTTGGAAACGATGACGTAGACACCCACGGTCTCTCCTGATTGGGTCTCATCAGCCTGGACTACCAGTGGTGAATACGACATGATAATGAATTACAGTGTCACTGACCTTGTTGTCTTTGCTAGCAGCTGTTGTTCAGTTAAATTCTGCATTTTGACGTAGAGTAGACAATCTACTTCCTGTTTACACCAACTCACATTTTCAGGTGTGATAGTCTAGATGGACTCCATCGTTTTAAAATGAAAACTTTGTAGTGTGGACGTAGCCCTAGAAACTGCAATTGATATTCCTTGATATTAATAATAGTGAATATTTTAATTTGCTGTTTATAAATTTGCTCTCTCCTCCTCAGGTGAGTGCAGGATTCCAGAAGAAGGTCCAGAGTAAGATCAAAGATCTCCTCCTGCAGATGGAGGAGGGCCTGAAGACTGCTGACCCCCATGACTTCTCCACTTACACTGGCTGGACAGGTCTGTGTCCAGCACCATGAGACATGCCGGTTCCAACTAGCGCAGATCCCTAGTGAACGGCTCAACCATAACATCTACTCTACTGTCTTCACTACAGGTATTGCCTTGCTGTACCTGCAGCTGCACCGGGTCTCCGACGAGGCCTCCCACCTGCAGAGGGCACTGGACTATGTGAAGAGGGCCATGAGGATCCTGAACGGCCGCAAAGTGACGTTCCTGTGTGGTGATGCGGGGCCACTGGCAGTGGGCGCAGTGGTCCACCACAAACTCAACAACACTGCTGACAGCCAAGACTGTCTGTCAAGGTTAGTGGCCACGACTGGATGCTGGTATGGATGTGACAGGCCAACTTAACTGAGTAGCAAACTTTGTGGTGCCACCAGTTTATCATAGAATATCTTGAGACTTATCCTATAATAAACCTGAGGGGACCCAGCACAGCCCATGTGTGGGACACACAGTTAGGGTCTTAGTGGTTTGTCTTCATTGGAAACCTTGAACAAACACCAGTGCCTGTGTTTCTGTCAGACTCCTCCAGCTGCAGAGGGCAGTGCTGAGCCCAGACTCCGAGATGCCAGATGAGCTGCTGTACGGCCGGGCCGGCTACCTGTTCGCTCTGCTCTACATCAACAAAGAGATAGGAGCTGACACGGTGGACGAGAGCACCATCACGAAGGTGAGTCAACACATTTTTACAGTTCAACCTGTAAAACGTTGTGAGTTTAAAGGGATGGTTCATGTTTTTTGATGTGGGGTTGTGTAAGGTACTCATGAATAGTCGTTACATTACCCACCGTAGAAGGTTGATGAGGAACGTCCAGGAGCACCCGGCAGAGTGGCAGAGCGATGTGTTTCTGTGCACGGGGCCACAAGAAAAAACGGGTTTTAGGGTCTTTTAAAATAAAAAAACGCCCACCAAAACAATCCAATATCTGTTTAAATGAAGCTTCATGTAGAATATTGTCAGCTCTTTATCTTCATGTGAAAGCAGCACTTTCCTTTGGCACTACATTTTTGAACTGCTGAACTACCGTATTCCTACGCACAAGTGCGCCTACGGAGAAGGCGCCTTTCGGATTTACCCGGCTGACCTGCGGCTGTGGCGTAATACAGTGCGCTCCGTAGGTGCTGGTTGCTGGCAAGACAGTTGAGTTCTGTTTTGTAAGGCGACAGTCGTTCCCATCCCATGTGTACAGTCACTGTGGTTGTAGGTATTATTTTATTCTAGGCACAGTTTATCTGTTTATAGCATCTCACTGCAGTGATACAACAAATTGACTCCAGGTGTCAACAGAGCTGCTCACTGCCTGACCTTGTTAACTCAGCTCTGTTATATCTACCTGTGGTCTCCCCTGTAGAGTGATGTGCTGTGATCATTTAGAGGCTGATTCACGGTCTGAGTTTAGCTTCAGACGAGCAGATAAAATGTCAGATTACATTTTTTCTACAATGCGATAATATTCTTTCAGTGAGCACCTGGAGACAGATTTATATGGTTGACAGCCGACATTAACCCTGCGCTCGTTTGTGACATTTTCAGCGTGTCATTGAATTATAAATGGATGTTGACTTTATTTATTTTCTATTTTATTTTATTTATTCGAACACATAAAACATTAGAAATACATAGCATATAGCTTTGTTTGTGGAGAGCATGTGCAGGTGAGGTAATAAACCCATCGAGGGCTAATGTTACACTTCACCTCAATGTGAAATAAAAAATGACATCATACAAAATGAGAAAATTACATGTGACATACATATACATGACATGTTTTATACTGATTTCAATATTATGTAAAAACAATTACTTTATAAACTCGTAAATAAACACATAACTTAAAAAAACATTTCTGATAAAAATACCTTTTAATTTGATTATTAAAGGTTCTAACCAACATATGTGCTTCTAAATTTCTGTGGTGTGAACTCTGGTCAGTTATTGGCTGAATTATATGGTGGCACAGATCTGTGATAAATTCATATCTACCAGTATGTTATTTCCTGGCTGATTTATTGGTGTAGCTGTGGTTAATGTGATTTTGCTAGCTGAAGTCTCTGATTTGAGTTTTCTTAGAGACGGCACAAAGCGATTTTTCTAGTTTTCAGTGTTTTACTTTTTCAGTCTGAATAAATAATGTTGAGGAGGTGGAAATGTTCAAGGATGTCAGAACCATATGTTCTCAGTGAGCAGGAACAAAAGTGGACTAGGGCACTAGAACCAGGGCACAGAGGACACACACACACACACACACACACACATACACACACACACACACACACACACACACACACACACACACACACACACACACACACACAATGAATAATAATCCCTCCACATGCCATTTTGACTATTTTCCTAAGCAGTCACACATACACACTGCAGAAACTGCAGGACCAGCTGTCCCCTTTGGTAAAGTGCCAGAGCAAAACACATATACTGTACACACACACACACACACACACACACACACACACACACACACACACACAACACACACATACACACACGGGCAGATGGGCTGAGATTGGGCGGAAGCACTCAGGTCATAGACTAGTGTTAGAAGTGTTAGTCATAGGGTAATGATAATAATAATAATAATGATAATAATAATAATTATTATTATTGTTATTATTATTATGAATAAGCTTTAAAGCTCCAGTTTCCTGCAGCACTGCGGTTCTGTTTATTTCACCGTATATCTGTCACCAACACACACACACAGAGCAGCACTCTGCGGGCTTTACCAAACACTGACTGTGCTCCAGGCTGCCGTTTAGAGGTCTTTTTTATCTTCTTTATTCTCTCTGGAGCTTTGTCAGACATTTTTTTCTTTATGTCAAGATTTTCACTCTAGTTTTTTTGTTTTTTCTCATTCTTTGTGGTATTTTTTATGTCAGGTTTTCTGCTCGGCCTTGTTATGAGTACTACCGTCGTTTTCCTCAGCGTGCAGTGTAGACGGTGTAGCTCATTGCTGAAAAGAAAAGAAAGTTTAAAGAAGAGTTTGTGTTTTTCTACCACCAGATTGTTTATTGTTTGGCCTACAGACAGATACAGTATCTCTGCTTCATGACAGATCTAAGATAGAAAAGGATTGAGTTTTGCAGCAGATGCCATGTTAGTAAGACACAGAAAGTTCCTATTGGTAATCTATTGGTAATATAAAAATATTTGTTACTTGAATGCACCTTTTTAAGATGTCTTGTTCTGGACCAAATCACAGTATTATGTGTTGGTCCCGCTGCTGACAGCCTGAAGCAGACAGTGCATTAATACTGCATGGCCGTTTGAAATTTTTCTTCATGAATATTCAGTGTTTACTCCAGACTGGAAAACCCTGGGGAAACAGCATCTTTGTGGGGAGACAGGTGATGTTGGTAATCAACACTGGCACTCAGACCTGTGCAGAATCTGATCAAGATGTTGCTTTTGTGAAAATGGAATTGATCAGGATCGATCAGCTTGTATCAGACACACATGATGTTACGTATCAGCGGGCTGCTCTCCAGCCTCCAGCTCACTGCACTGACTCACAGTCTGAGTCTCTGTCATCAGCTTTAGATTTCGTCCCACTCCAGATGCAAATTAATGACTTTAACATTTAATTTAGTTTGAATCTGTTAGGCCAGTTTTATTCAGAGCCCTTAGATTAGCCTCTGCCTGTTCAATCCTCTTGGTGCTGAATCCCGCTGCTCCTGTTTGTTTGCACAGATAAATTTACTCGGCAAACAGATTAATTTACCCCAAATTACATTTTCTCCCTTTTAGAGGGACAGTTGATTGCATATTGGAGCTTTGTGTGTGTGAGAGAGAGAGGGAGAGGGTGGAATTAGATGTGGGGAAAAACAGGAGCATTTGAGGCAGGGCTGGTTATAGATGAGTATATATGTGTTGGAGTGAAGGGATCGTGTGTAAATGAGCTGGCTGGCTGTAAATCTGCTCTGTCATGAGGGAGATATCGCTGCCGCCGCCACTGCTGCTGCAGAGCTCTTTTCCTTTCTTTTTCACTCCCTCGATCTTCCCTGGGGAGAGAATAAACTGCTGACTCAGAGCCCCCAGCCCCTACACCACTACACATATACACTGTATATAACCTCACCGATACAGGCTGGCGACAGAGTTGACAGAAACCTGCAGTGAGGCTTATGAAATCATCCTCAACACAACCCTCAAATGTGACGATTAAAACCAACCAGCAGCTAAACAGAAACCCACTATCAAGTCCTTAAAGAACAATTTACACAACCAATGTGTAATTATTCACATGATAAACTCTAAACATCATCTTTGTTTAATATTCAAAGAGTCAACAGTGACACAAGACATTATTTCCAGAACCAGGAAGCACATAAATGTAATTTTAGGAGACAGGGTTGGGCTGTAGAGGTTTTATGTTCAAAGTACAGTTAGCTAGCATAAAGCAAGTTGTAAGCCCTTCAGTGCTTCAGCATCTGTACTGGCTGTGAGGGTGTACATTACAACCAAATCCATCAAGTGATCATCAGCCTCATTAATTATCAATTAATATCTACAACGTTACAATACTCAGTGACGGTGTTTCTATAGAGCTGTTCATTTGACTGGCATTGCATTGACTTATCCGGGGTCAGGTGTAAAGTGGCAGCAGTTCAACCAAAGTTTTCCAGATGTCCCTCCGCCCAGCAACATTTCCCAGCTCCTCCTGGAGGAATCCGAGGCGATCCCAGGCCAGATGAGATGTATAATCTCTCCAGTGTGTTCTGGGTCTACCCTGAGGCCTCCTACCAGTTGGATGTGCCTGAGAGACCTCCAATGGACGGCGCCCAGGAGGATCCTGACCAGATGGCCGAACCACCTCAACCGGCTCCTTTCCTCTCCCTATCTCGAAGGCTGAGCACAGACACCCCGCAGAGGAAACTCAGTTCAGCTGCTTGTATCAGTGATTGTTTTTGTCACTACCCAGAGCTCAGGACCAGAGAACAAAGATCAACTGGTAAAACCAGGGTGGAACGCCCGCTTTACGCAATCTGCAATGCATGGTAAAAATGATCCGTATGGGCCGTGGATCAGCTGATCTCACTCATAGATGATCGGTATCGGTATCGGTATCGGCGGCAAGAAAACCTCGTCACAGCATCCCTAAACAAGACTCTGAGAGGTTGTAGTCTGCAGGTGCTCTCACTCAACAAAATGAAAACTTCTGCAAAAATACTGCAAAAAAGAGTTAAATGAAGATCTATGAGTTTGTTGTTGTTGTATGTGTGTTAAGCACATTGAGTTTCTCTGTAATTGACTGTGCTGTGTACAATATACAACAGAGCTGAGTTCACTCTGGTCAGTATTACTAAAATATTAAGTAATTTTAGGTCCTGTCCTTTTTAATACAGTTTTATATGTTTTTAGCCAAAGCCCAAGAAGAATCAAGCCAATTAATTTGGAAAACAGAAATGTTTGACTAATTAAACTTTAACAAAAGGTCCATAGATGATGGATTTCATCTATTTTAGTAATATTTTTACATCCGCCTTTATTTTTGATGACAGATTTCATCTACCTGGACATGGATGATGTCAGTCCTGCACAAATCTGAGGAGAGATGTTCTGTTCTTCTTCACAGATGATTCTTTTTCAGCTGTTGTTTGCTGGAGGAGTTTTGTTGCTCGACCATCTGCTTTAAGATAATAAAGGTGTTCTGTTGGATTCAGGTCAGGGGACACACCAGGTCATAGTTTCACTTTTTTCATCTTTAAAAACTCTTGGTTTTTGCAGTGTGTTTGGGATCACTGTCAAGTTGGAAAATTTCTGTCGTGCTGTTTCTTGAGACCTGGATTCATCTTTGTATTCAGTGCTTGGGTACAAACCTGCGTTCATAATGCAGATAGATATATGAATACACATTTTGCTCTCATGTAGACACTCGCTCCTCGATGTGTCATGGTCGGCACTGTGCAGTCATTGTGGTGGTCCTGACCAGGTCCTCACCAGACATGCTGGACTCCATCTGATCTAAACATTTATTTTGGTTTGGTCTTTTCATCTTCTTTGGCAAAGTTTAATCTGCAGTTTGATGATAATGGTTTCCTCCTTGTCTATATATCTTGACTTCCTGCAGTCTCCCTCTCACAGTCACTGAAACACAGTCAGTAGCTCTGACCGTCTGCTTTTCAGTGCAGGGCTGCTGCTTAAACAGTGAACTTCCCATCCACTGTGTCGGCTGTTATTGGTACTATGACTCTTCCGTCACCTCCTAACCACTGCTCCCACTGTTTCTCTGCTCATGTTCAGTAGCCTCATGTTCCCTCTCCATCCTGATGAAGTCTCAGTCTGGTTTCTTACTTGTTCAGGTAAATAGACGGAGCCCAAAACTCAGAAAGCTTTATTTTATAACCTCTTGCAATTAGCACAGGTGTAATCAAAGCTGTTACAGTGATCACAGGTGTACTCACTTCTTTCAACTTCACCTGTGTGTTTTTAATTATAAATAAGATCAAATACCCAACACTTAATTTTAAGATGATACAGTTTTAATCATTTAACGTGAGTGACATTGACCCGGCGTTTAAAGTCTAACCCCATTCTTACTGAGTCAAGTACAAACATAAAAAAGCTCCGAACTATTCTCGACAGACTTGAGTCTTACTAGTTTTATTTAGAGTTTCACCTTGTGTGTTTAAAGGTTCTGGTGCATCTTTTAAACTCGACCTTACTGAACCTGAACAGAGAAGGTTCTTAATTTAATTTATTATGAAGCATTTGCTTACCAGGTTGAATTTCGCTCTTTCCACAGGGCGTTTAATATCTCTGTGCAGCACACAGTATGGACGCTATCAGAGAGAGAGAAGAGTAATTTAATAATGACATTTGCAACTAACTAAATCTGAGCCTGAAGCTTTAAACAACCAAACAACCCAGACCTGACCCAGAAGCAGAGTTCAGCATGTCTGACTTAAACGGAATATTTACATTTTGCCCATAGAGAAAAGGATTTGATCTGTGGCTTCCTTATTGCTGAGTTCAGCTGTTGACCTTCTCAGCTAATTAGCTCCTCTCAGGGCTCGCTCGGCCTTCTGTTCCTTTCCCACACTGGCCCTTTCATTACAGGAGGCACTGAGGCATGTGTGTAGGTCTCAGTTCGCCCTGAACACATTTCAAATGTCAGTGGAAAATCCCATGTGCAGCGCTGAAATTTTATTTTACATTAACATATTAATTCTCTCGACCTTTGTTGCTTCCTTACATTTAAATGCCCAGCATGACGTCTTTACAGCTGTTTCAGCTAAATGCATTAACCAGAGGAGGGACAAACTTAATTTCCAGATTTCACTAATTTGAGATTTACAAAAGAGAGATTTAAATAAAACTAAACAAAAGCAAGTCTAAACTAATTGGATGGCCTTGACCTCAGATCCTGGACCTCAGGGACCTGCTGGTGTACACAGTAGGGCTGCAGCAGTTCTCCTATGTAGGCAGCTTCCTGTCCATGCAGCAGTATGTGGCGATCATGCAAAACTAATTGAAAATGTATAATTTAAAAAGGACATTAATTGTCAAACTATTTAAAGGCAGTCCTGCAACTGAGAGGAGGGGGCTGAAGAAGTTGGACTCGCAGTGTGAGATCTTGATCTTCTGTGATAAAGGAATGACACAGGCTGATTTCTAAAATAAATAATAGAAATAGTGTAATTGTCAGATTATCAAAAGTTCATCAAAATACAGTGATTTTAAACTTAGAATATTCAAATTCCAACAGCTTTGGCCTTTGCTTCGTCTTTCCATTGGATAAACTGGGATTGCATGACTATGGACAACAAATGAAGACAGTGTAAAACTGGTTGAAAGAAACAGAAGCAGGAGTGAAACCACGAGCTGAAAGCTGAACTCAGATCTAAAGGAACATAAGTAGTTGTTATAGATGTCAGAGTCTGAGCTCAAAGCACATTATAAAAGACTTTGGGAAGGACTGTGCCATGAAAGTATAATGTAGTGTCACCTTATCCCACTGCATTTTGATATAGATGTGATGATAACGGTGTTTTATATCTTCATATAGAAGTAAAAACTGATGATGCCAGATTTGACGTCTCACTGTTCTCTCAAAGGACGGTGTGGCTAATAATTCCTGTATATGAGGTTGTGCAGTGAAGGAGGAGGAGCTGTGGATGTGTTAAGTTTTACGAAACTTGCCAAGGCAGCAGCCAGGCCTCTGTTGGTGGTTGAGTAGAGAGAGGCAGACTGTTGTTGCTGTGGCGATGGCCGCAGTGTGTGGTTGTCATGTTGTATAACTGACATTACAGCTGAATCACTGGAAGTACAGTGACACGAGCACCGTTGGGTGAGAAGCAGGGCGTCAGATCTTTTTCTGCCTCGGTCGTGTTCACATGAATCTGTTTTATATAAGAGGAGGTGGAAGTTAAATGTAGGCTGCAGGAGGCGTTACATCAAGACGCCAAGGGAGGGGTGACCTGTGTCCTCCATTTTGGGGAAAGAGTGGAAGGAATTATGGTCTCAAAATGGAGATGAGCTGTAAAGTATAAATCTAAATGGAAAGTTAGGAGCAAATACATTTGAATTCTAATGGAAAAAAATATATTAACCTTAAAAATCTCATATTTCTGAATTACTCTTAATAATATCTGCATATATCTTTGAAACATCATACACTGTCTGAACACTGCATATACAGTCATGCTTCATTTTACAGTCATACAAAATAATGATGAGTTTACAAAGTGGTTTGATAATTGAGGCAGAAGTAATAATGACAAGAGGCTCAAAGGCAATATAAACAAAAGAAATAAGGTGAAATTAAGAGGAAAGACTTACAATACACTTCAATGTAAGAAAGGACAACTAGAGAGACTAGATGCCATATAAAAGCTATAGAAGGATAATAAAGGGACCATAAAAAGACGACACCACATAAATTAAGTCTATAAAATGGGTTTTAAGAAGTGATTTAAAAGAAGTCCCAGATTCTCCAAAGTCGAAGGGCCCTGATGGTAAAAGTGTGGTCAAACCCGAATAAAACTTTAAGTCGATTCTCAGTGGATGTTCTCCAGATTAAACACATGCAGCGAAACCTGAGGACAAATTCTGTTCCCAGAAATCAAAAGACGTCTTGTTCTGTCTGGATAAATCTCTCTGTCTCCGGTCCTCAGGTGGTGACAGCCATGATGGAATCAGGGAAGAACATGTCAGCGGAGCAGAAGAAGACGGATCGCTGCCCTCTGCTCTACGAATGGCACAAAAAGCAGTACATCGGGGCGGCCCACGGCCTGGCCGGCATCTACTGCCTACTCATGCAGGTAAGGGAGGGCAAGGAGGGTTGTTGTGTGTCTCAAAGATCCCCTTAGTGCTGCAGCTTAGACAAATGTTTTCATGCTACTCTGATCAGACTCCAGTTGCAGATGGAAATAGCAGAGAATGGTTTTCAAGGCATCAGTCGTGAGTTATGTGATGTGACAGGTGTATTTTGGTCGTGCCATAGACCGGAGGTGTTCAGAGTGGGAGGTGGCCTCACCAGGTGGGGGCTCAGTGAATGGAAGGAAAAAATATTACAAGTTATTACATAAATGTGAGATTTGGTTAAAGAGTGAGAAACTAGTAAAAGCCTCAGGACTGACCTTTTTCATGGGTTTGGTGTAGTCTCATGTTATGTCAATCAGCAGGATTAGACTATCTTGCCTCAGTTGTTGAGTCTATTGGATAAAGTAACGTAATCATGATCCCATAGGCATCCAGCTACTGAGCGAAACAAAGCAAAGGTGGGGTGAGGGGAGGTCCAAACGGCTCAGACTTTGAAAACCTCTGCCATAGACCCTCTTGGGAAAAGTTCTCTTTTGTGTTTATTAATGTGTCAGGACGGGTTTCAGATAAATCAGGGTTTTCCAAGCACAGCCGGCGAGGACCTCGACCTTTGTAATGCCATTAGAACAAATCCTGGTGAGCCACCACATCGGTCAAAAACCATGTTAATGCTTAGATCTGATCCTCAGGGACCCTTTAAACTCTGCAGTGATTCAGCTTCAGTATTTGGTAAGAGAACCACACTGGACTCGTTCCAGTATTAAGTGCAGCAAGAAACATTAATCAGTGGGTCAGTGGTTTAACGCCTGGTGTTTGGGAGGGTCTTACTGTCCCGGGCTGAGAGCCAGTGGAGCTGCTAGCTCCTGCAGTCTGATATCACACGAGGGCTGGTGGCCGCTCAGCTAGATTTTATTAAGAAGTAGCTGCAAATGAGAGTGAAGTGGATCTGTGTCTGCCTCCAGTCTGGGGCTGGTGGAGATATTAACAGCTGGTGAACAGCCCAAAAAAAAAAATTCACTGTGGCATTTAATTATTTCTTGGCAACATCACACACCAGAGAATAAATTCATTCAAAAACGGATATGAAATTAGATTAAATTAGATAGAAATTAGATGAAATGAATTAGTTTTTCTTTTTGTTTACAGACTTTGAAACTGAGTCTGTTTGGATGATTCTTCTTCTTGTCACTGAAACAAGTCGACAGACGACTGTGCTGTGTCTCTGTTCTTGTTCTTTGATGTTTTCATTAACACCGAACTCTCTTCTTACTGGAAATTAATAATTCATCCCTGCATCAATCTGAGGGGCGGTGTCAAGTCCATTTAGACCCGTTAAAGAACCCGCTTTGTTTTTTTCTTATTTTGTTTATCAGTTAATCATTTATGAAGCTGCTGAAGAGGATTCTGGTAATACAGCCTGAATTTGATCCGAGGACGTCACATAAAATGAGCTCTGGTGTCTTTCTATATAAAATGGATCCGCTAACACGTCATGTCCACCACACACAGTAAATCTCCAGGTTGATACCAGGTGCTCTTGAAGTTGAAATGGTTAATATAGACACAAGGAAGCTGCTGAGCTTACTTCAGGCACACTCGCACCGAGACAAGGATAAAGGTAAAATACCTTTATTGTGTTAGGACATATCAGATTAAAATATGAAACAAAAAAATCAGAAAAAGGGAATAAAACGGCGAGCGGCTTCCACCACCACAGGCTCGTCTTCAGGGCAGGGTTGGAAAGAGAAGTAAACCAGAGAAAAGCATCGTGATTCCTTATATAGACAGATCTCACCAGTAAATCATACAGTATGTTACAAGGAGGCTATATAAACCATAAGATATTAGTCACCATCATGATTATAATCAATAATGAAAATTAGAAATAAAAGGATACCAGCCATTTTTAAACGATAAAGAGAGGGAGTAAAGGTCTGAAATCTATTTCCTCATTTAACTCTGAACAATATTGGAAATGTGTCTGCTGAAGATTGAACCGTGATGGAGACAAAAACCAGCCAGCAACCAAAACACAGGACATGAAGATCAGGTTGTGGCTGATCAGAGATGTTGAATATAAAAAGCTTTCAAAGAAATCTAAATAATTTACAGTTTAACCTTCAACTTTGGCAGCTTGGGTTGGGTTACATTATGCAGAGATATTACATGATGAGTTTCTACAATTGTTATCAATAGTAGAAACCTGTTCCCCAGTTTTCCTCTCTCCTGTTCTGACTCCATCTTTCTCAGTTCAGCTCCAAACTGACTACAGTGTTGAAACGTGTTGAAACTAAAGGACGGTATGAAAGGAAACGGAGCTGACCAGTGGAAATTAAACTAATCTCTGTCTCTGTCTCTTCAGCCGGGAGCAAAGGTCCCTCTAGACATGCTGTCGGAGCTGGTCCGTCCCAGCATCGACTATGTCCGCCACAAGAAGTTTCGTTCGGGGAACTTCCCGTCGTCTCTGAGCAACGAGAGCGACCGTCTGGTTCACTGGTGCCACGGAGCGCCGGGCGTCATCCACATGCTTCTCATGGCTCATAAGGTGAGGCTGCTTTCTGCTCCGTACTGTGTGACGTCTGTCTATCACATGAACAACACTGGCACCTTGTGGCAGGGCCGTGAACTGCATGTACACGTATGTTGTGTTACATGTATGTTGAAACGAACAGTCGTAAAAGCGGTTAATCTCTTTTTATTTGGGCTTGTGAACACTCCCCTCCTGACTCAACAACAACTCTTTCATTTCAGTAGTCACACACACACACACACACACACACACACACACACACACACACACTGCAGTGATGCATTGTAGGCTAATTTCTTCTTTTCTTGGCAATTAGGAAACCACTCGCCAGCTAATGTGCTGCTATTCTGGCGCTCTCATTCGTCTCACTGATGCAGAGACTCTTTGGCGCCACACACAGAACAATACACAATGGGAGACACGGTGGCTCATCGCTGTTTCACTGCGAGCAGAACACACAACAGATCTGCTTGTTGTTGCAGAACGAGCATTTTAGCAGCTGCAGAGGAACGTTTCAGGTCAGCTGTGGTGTCTGTATACAGCTTTTCATTTAGAGTCATAAACATTGATTTACAGCAGACTGGAGCATGATGGAGTCACTTTCAGGAAGCATGTTCTTAACATCACTTTTTCACAGAGTGATGATAATAATGAAAAGAGAAATCTGGACCATCTGTAGTAATATATGAAGATAAGCCTTAAGGAGCGCTGCATCATTCTTGTTGCTAGGCAACACAAAGCTTGTTAATATACCAGCTATGTGATAAATTGTCTCACATCAAAGGACCCATGAAGTAGTAATTTATTTCTATTTGAAACTCAACTTTCATTTAAATATTCTTCACGTAGCAGGAAACAATAAAATGTTAAAAACAAATACAATAAACACAAGGGATAAAAATGAATATGAAAACTGATGGTTAAAACAAAGAGTACGGCTGTAACATTTCTCTGAATTAAAAACATCGGTCTTGAGTGTCCTTTAGTTTGTCAGTCTAATATCCAGAGGCAGTGAGTCCCACAGTTCAGAGATGTTAAACTGGAAGTCGGCCTCGAAGATACTTTTATGGGACACATGGAAGATTTAAAAGATGAGCTGCGGAGCCGTCAGTGGACCTCAGTGATCTGACAGGAACATAAAATGAATGAAATGTGATGTAGGGAGGAGAAGCTGCTTTATAAGCTCTGAAAGCTGCAGGTCGTGAGAGCGAGGGAAAAGGGGAATTACAGTGGCCTAAACAGCTGGTAATGAAAGTGTAAATGAGCATTTCAGCGTCTTTCTGAGTTAAGAGGGTTAGGATTAGACGTTCGTGATATTCCTGGGATGAAAAAAGGATGTTTTCATGACCTTGTTAAAATGAGAATTAAAATTTAAATCACTCCTCCGTGTGTTTTAACCAAACACTGAGTGCAGTTTTTCTCTTGCTGCTTTGGGTCCTGTTAAAAGAATCAGTTTTTCTCCTCATTCAGTTTTAAAATGTTTTTACCCTCCACACATTAATGTCTGTGAGACAGACAGTAAGAGCATGCAGTGCACTGTGGTCATTTGGTAAGACAGATGTACAGTTGACGTTTTAACGGTTAATAATGTTTCCCAGCTGGGATCATACATAATGAAAACAACACTGGGCTGAGAATGTTTGCAGGAAGTCTGTCAATCAAACTTTTGTATTAAATTCTGCTCTGAGATCTCAGAGAAGAAGGGCAGCCGTGCTGTCCATGCTGGAGCTTTTCTAACATGTTACTGTTGAAAAGGATCTTCTGTAAAAGTTAAAAGGAAATGCAGATTAGAAATGAGTCTGTAATTGTTCAGCTCTGAGTGATCTACAGTGGATATCTTGAGGAGTGTTACCACAGAGGACGTGAAGGCTAATTAGGAGAGAGGTTTATTCCACCACTGGGAGAGGCTTTGGATTTAAACTCTTGATAGGGGGTGGAGTCTGGAGCACAAGTGGAAGACGAGGACTGAGGTTGAACTTTTTATCTACACTCACTAGGATCACGTCAGCTGATCGTTGTTTTCCAGGAAGTTCAAGTGCCCATTTCATATGAACTATAAAAGTTGATTTCAATCAGCGGGTTGTTGCCATGGTCTTCTCTGTAACCGTGGAAACCGCAGGACCCACTCTGAGGCGAAACAACGCAGGAGCTCATTTTACTGGTGTCTCAGCTCTGTGAATTGTTCACCTCCTCACCAGCTCTGAACAAACAGGCGTAATGACACTGGGTACTTTACTTTAACCATTTCCTCTGTGGTTGTGTGACGAGGTTGGAGTAGACGGATCACAGCAGCCTGATGAATGTGGTGCAGGTTGTTAGTGGGTTTGGATGTAGCTGCTTCATCATCGAAGAGATTCATATTCTGCTAGAACAAATGAAACAAACTTTAGATTGAATTGAATTAGGGAAAACCTAAATAAAAGTATAATTTAGTGTCTGTGGACTGAAGAAGCTTCTGTGTCCCTCCTTTACTGCGACAGTAAATATTATAGGAAGAGATTTCATCTGAAAGGCGGAGGACCTGTCTCTTTACTGTCCTCTGTTGTGGAGCTGCTGGATAATGGCGAAAATCATAATCAGGATTATTTTGATCAATACTGGGATCACGATTATTTAACACGATCACTCACTGACTTTGGGAAGACCACGCATTTATTATTAACAGTGGACTGTCTTTACTGTGGACTTTAAATACAATTCAACGGAAAAACAAATAAAAAATTAAAAAGAGATGTATATATTTAGATTATTTTATTCAATTAAATATATAATATAAATAAATTAGATCAACATAAATGAGATCAACTATGTTTCCACAACCTACTGAAAACTACTAAATGTATATAAAAATAAATTAGATCAAATATGTTGTGGTTAATACTCCAAAACATACATTCAACATGTTGGTAAAATATATTCTGCTCAGTAACTCGGTCCAAGGAAATTAAAGGCTGGACCGACTCCTACGTACGTTGCTAACGTGCGCTGAGATGTAACCAGGAAGTGGTTACATCTCAGCTGGAAGTGGATTTATTACAGCTGCAGCTGTAATAAATCCACACTTCCTGTCTGAAGCCGTCACACTGCTGTTGGAGGCTGGTTAACAAAGTCACTCCTCATCAGACAAACTGACAGTTTCCACATGTTCACACTCTCTCAGTTTGTCTCCTCAGCTTCATACAGGTGATGTGTCGGCTCTTTATGAAACGTAGACGCGTCGCTCTGCTCTGGATTAGCCTTATTACCTACTAATGAGGTCTGGACACGTGGGAACGTTCAGTCTTGTACGTGGGCTCGGCTCTCAGCTGTTCTCCAGGGGACAATAGAGCAGCCAGCCTGTCAGGAGGATGTTTTCTTCAGTGTATGGATTAAATGATATGAGGATTAAAGCTCATACTGGTTGTTCTGGGTTGAAGTTCCTGTTTTATAGCTGGTATTTAGTTGCTGCTACTCAGCGTGCAGACTGGGAAGCTGCAAGAGTTAACAACATTTTTTTAATTTGGCTTCCTCTGTGTGTTCCCAGGTGTTTAAGGAGGAGAAGTACTTGAAGGAAGCTGCAGACTGTGCTGAGGTGATCTGGCAGCGCGGCCTGCTCAGGAAAGGCTACGGTATCTGCCACGGCACCGCTGGCAACGGCTACGCCTTCCTGTCCCTTTACAAGGTCACCCAAGACAAGAAATACCTGTACCGGGCCTGCAAGGTAAGGACCAGGCTTTTTCTGCAGCTTGTGCAGCTTGGCACCAGCCTCATTTTATCTGTATGTGTCCTACATGTAGAGAAGGGAAAATGTGGTGTGATTTAATCAATCTTATGCACATGGGAGATTTTCCTCTTGTGAAAAATGAATACACATCACAGCCTCGAATCTAGCTCATTCAGAAAATCTTTTTACAGACGCAACAAAAAGAAAAGATAGAAATCTAAACAATTATGGAACTACTATGTATTATTTGTGGATTAGTGACAAAAATGTCAATTTTATCAATTTCCAATTTAACCTGCAACACAAAGTGCACAAAAAGTAAAGGGATCTAGATATTTTTAAAGCCACTGTTCATTGAATCTCAGTCCCAGCACCTCCAGCCACTTTTTCTCTTGTCTCTGGAGAGCATGAGTGGCCCTGATGGAATAAGAAAAAAGGGATTTTCCACTTCAAAGTCTTTCTAGGTGTTTGGGAGAACCAGTGCATATGTGAATGAAGTTGTTTAAAGCCTTTTGTCCCCAGAGGCCACTCTTTGGAGTCTGATAAATGTTCCCAGGCGATGTCACTCGAGTCGGTTCTTGTCGGTCTGAAGACAAACTTAAACTAGAATTATTGTTCACAAGGCCAAAACCGCATTTTGTGAGGTCACCGTGACATTGACCTTTGATCTTTAGACACCAAAATCTAATCAGTTCGTCCTTGAGTCCAGGTGAATGTTTGTGAAAAATGTTCCGTCATATAAGGAATCAGAATGAGACGCACGGACATGACCAGACCTCTGTGGGACGCTCCTCAAATCTGCTTCAGGCTCCATTAGCCACTGTTAACATAGAACACCCACATGACTGACAGCTGACAGCAGTCCAGTTGCATTGTGGGTAATGTAGGCGCCAGGTTCTGACAGATAATTAAGAATATATGGAAGAAAAAAACTATATCTGGGTGTGGTGGATTTTTTTTTTTTTCAGTCTAAATCAGTGAAGTCCTTTTTAAGACAGTAGTATTCAACATTATTGTCAGTATGGTCATATTTCATAATTTAATTAAAATTAATTATTTCTGTTATGAAAGAAGAAACTGGATTTTCCACCAGCGATCCTCACCACCACTTTATTATTAACTGCATATATTTCATATTTCATACAAATCCTCCTCCCCAAAATCTCATCAATGGAACAGGTGAGTATCAGGTTGTCATAGCAACAATGGCTAAAATGATGAAAGTGAGCCCACAGCTTTTTTCCGTCTTAGAACAGAATTAAAGAACATGTCGTGCGCTGGTTGTTGTTGTTGGCAGCGATCATCTGACGTATAAATATTTGATGTATATTTTTCTGTCATTGTCACGAGCACACATCAGTGAATGTCCGTTAATATGTTGTTTCCTCTCTCCAGTTTGCTGAGTGGTGTTTGGACTACGGCACCCACGGCTGTCGCATCCCGGACAGACCCTACTCTCTCTTTGAAGGTACCGAATGTTTATTATTGAACTCTCCACCAGTTCGACTCAAGCTGCTCTCCCTCCCCAGAACCACAGGTTTTAAATCAGTGCAATAGCGGACCTGTAATTTGTGCTGCAAACAGTTAGTCTGCTGCCCATCAGCACTCTGGGTAATTTAGTCTGTGTGAAGTCAGAGTGGCTGTAATGAAAGAGCAAAGGACACGACTGGCAGCACAACACAGGAGAGACGCTCCCATGTGTATGAATGAGGCAGTGACTGCAGAGAGGCAGCAGGTTTAATCACAGACTTAAACTCTGATACAAATTGCTCTTAATTCAGTTAAAATGAAGCTTCATTAGAAAGAACTTTTACAGGAAACAAACCTGTTTCAACGTTCATATAAGAAACTGAGTGTTGATTCAAGACTGGAAAAATTGTGAAACTGTTCTTTTAATAAGTAAATCTGTTGATAGGAAACATTGGCCAATCAACTATATATATATATACACCTTTCTAAATGGAGACATGTCTGCATGCACACACGGACTTATTTTACATTTATTTATTCAGGTGAATCTCTAAAACCATAGAGACCTAAAAAAACATAGCAAAAATAATTCATGAACAGAAGAAGTTATAATAGTTTAAAATAACACACAAGGAAAATCTTAAAAGATGCCAAGATTATATGATGAATATCTCTATACATGACCTAATCATTTTACTGTATAAATCATGTTTGAACAGCATTTCAGTCAAGTGTCGACCATATTTAATTTGACATCTTATACCATTCAGTTAATAGCTAATTTATTAGCATAGAGAGCATAGTCACACACTGTAAATATGTATTATCTGTGTTGGTCTAAATATTACAACCAGCTCATGTTCTCAGACTCAGCCTGTAACATGTGTAGCTGGCAGTAACGTGACTTCCTCCTCCTCAGGTATGGCGGGGGCCATCCACTACCTCTCAGAGATGGCGGTGCCCGAAGCTTCCTGTTTCCCTGCCTTTGAACTTTGACCTGCCAACTGACGGGACCGGGGGTGATGAAAAGGAGGGGGCGGGGACAAACTGACCTGAGTTTTTACTCAAACACAGGATGAGTATGTACTTGCGATACAGCTTTCAGCCGTGGTCGTGAATGAGTGTCGACCAAATCAGACTGAGGATGAGCCTGGAACAAATCTTAAGAAATGTCCATTAAGAAAAAGGGACAGAAGGACAATGTTGATGGAGTTGTCTCTAGCTTCCTTTTGGGCCTTTCAGGAACTCTGAGGTCGCCTGTCGTCGTCGGCATGGACACAGACGATCGCGCCCTCAGCCTTTAATATCGTAGCGCCGAGAAAGAGGGTGTGTGTGTGTATGTGTGTGTTTTGGTATTCCTATGCCTCTGCATGCTCACTGTAAATGGCTTTTGGTGCCTCATATCCTGTCGATGTAGTGGTTTTCCTCTTCCTGTACCTGTAGCTGTGCTGTTTCTCCAGGTGTTTGTCACATGGTGGGAAAAAGTTTCAAAACTAGTCTGCCTAGCTTGCCAACATTACCACTGATTCCCACTAGATGTTACTTTCAGCTCATGTTATTTCCACACCTGCTGAGTCATTAACAGTTTCTGCACACTCAAATTCACAAAAATAATTTATTTTTCACTTTGACTTGGAGCAGTATAAATGAATGTGATTTAGAACAAAGTAACACAGAAATCATGATAAGCTCCTGTCCTGAAGCCAAAAGCTAGTTAGCTTGTTTTGATAACATGTTCCTTTTACTTTACTTTTCAACCATTTTAAATGGAGGTTATCTCTTATTTTTGTTGCCCAGCTGAAATATAAAGACAGAGGAATTTTTTCCCCACAATGTGACAGATGTCTGAATTGAAATAAAAGCTTTTTACTTTGTTGTTTAGGCACCAGAAAAAACAACCTTGTTTTGCATTGATATAATTTCTGCTGAAACTTGTCCAAGCTACATTATTTAATTTAAATAATTGAATTATAGTATTGTATCCCCACACATGGATTTGTGTACAATATATTATGACACATGACGGTTTAAATAATTTAGTGACGAAAGACATTTAAAGTCAGACCTCTGTCTCGTGCACGTTCGAACATGGAAGAACTGGCCTGTATGGTTGGGTTTACATCAGCAGGTGTAAACTTGATACTATTAAAACAAAAAGGGGTAATTTGAGAATTTTCTCCTACTGTCAACAAAGTGATGTCTGTGATGGACAGTTACCCCCCCCCCCAACCTAATTGTTGTATGTACCATGTCTTCAAATGATTTCACCTATTCTCTTTTTGAAAAGTGAGTCATCACTGGTGAATTGTGGGATAAGTCTGGGACGAGTTTTTCGGAAGTGGAAGGTCAGTCTTCAAATGCAGCCTCTGAACAGAGACACAGCTACTGAAGCTAAACCAAAGGTGGCTAAGCAAAGCGTCAATTAGTGCATCGTTTCATGCTGCGTTCCTATTGGCTGTTTAGTAGACGCAGGTCGTAGCAGAACTCACATTATTAGGTGGTCAACCTAAAATTCTGACTAACAACAAAACCAACATCGTCACTGGGTTTCTCTCTGGTTTAGTTTAGTCAGGTCTCCATGTGTCTCCTTCAGGCTCAGCTGTAAAGTAGAGTAAAATCCAAGATGTCCGACAGCACGTGAATGCACATAAATGCCTAATTCTCTTGCAGAGATCTCGTCATGAATGTCATTGCATGAGAATAATGTCACATGTGAAATTATGTGCGTCCTGGTTCACTGGTCCTTTTTAAATGTATTTGGTGGTGATGTGTGTCCCGCTCCCAGCACCGAGGACTCTGGACATTAATGGAGACGTGTTAAGTGTTTGACCTTTGTCCCTGTATGTGGATTTGACTCGGCCTAATTGGTGTTAAGATATGACTGTGTGCTTATTTTTTCCTCATTAAACTCCTGGGCTTCAGTGACAGAGCAGTGACATGTAACTAAGTGTTTTTCCCCAACAAAAGGTCAAATGACAGAATTCATGCAAAGTTTGGAAATAAAATGAATAGAGCTCCTATACTGCCTGTTTCTTGTCTCATTATTCCAGATGAAATTAATTCATATATTCTGTTTTCTATGTTTGTTTCTCCATTCTGAGTGCAGGAGTAAGAAAGCAAAGAACAGCAGTATGTTGTTATTTTTCAATGCGCTTATCTTGAGATCATGACTGAAGGGGAGACCAGGGCACCTTATCACACTTTTTACTTTTTTAATTCATCATAGTCATTCATGTTCCAAATGAAATTAAATGATAAATTCTTCTGGACAAATGTACAGTCTTTGGATTTCCTCCTTACTTTAACATTGAGTTATAAATCCAAAATTTCCCATTGGGGATACTTACTGAATGTATATATGTATGAACAGTAAGAAGGACCTGAGTTCAAGCCCCAGGCCTGGAGACTTTCTGTGTTGACCTTGTATGTTATCCGGCTTCTTCCCACTGTCCAAAAACATACACATTAGGTTAATTAGGGACTCTAATACCTTACTGCACTATGACGTTTTTATGAAGTTTTATACCTTACTATACTATGATGTTTTTATTATTTTTTATGTCTTACTATACCATATCCTTTTTATGACTTT